GGCCAACCTATGTCTGAGGCAAAACTTTAGGCTTCTGCAGGAGCCACTGGGACCACACATCCTGCCCATGTCCTAACCGGGCCAATGAACCCCAGCATCTTGTCTGCCTTTGTATCTAGTCCCAAATAGGCAAGTGGACAACTGCTTGTGCAGGGGATGAGGTGGTGGTGAAATTCTCAGGGCACTTAAGAGAGAGCTTAAGGGAGGAACCAAGAGAGTCCAGATGGTGGGATGGGCCGTTTCCTATTCCCATTCACCACCCCAGACGGACAGTGGGAGCACTCGGTGCAACAGGAGACCCCTGGGCAGGGACTTTTCCCACCCTACCTTCCCCAGGTATACTGAGACCCTCAAATGTAAACTCACAGTCATCTCTTCAAGATAATTTCCTGAACAAAGAGACTCATGGATCCCTCTAAGATCTCTAAATTCAATCTTAGGCCTACCAAGAGAAATGGGAAAAGTCGGCGAGTTCATGCTCCATGAACACAACGAGAGACATTGAGAAAATAAGAGCTGTCAGAGGAGAGGACAGAAATCAGTGAGAGTCCTCTGACACCACCTTGGGACTGGGGCCCCCCTCAGGATAGTTAATCACAGAGTTTGACACACTGATGACAGGTGGGGATGTGCTCTTACCACACAGGCTTCCCAAACTGCACTTACACCCCTGCTCAGTTAATCTTCCCGACTCCAGAGTTCCATCCGTACACTGACTCCATCCACGCTTTAGGAGCCACAAGGCAGCACAGCCCTAGCCCGTTTCACAAGCTTCTGATTTGATTCAGGTCTTTAAATGTGGAACCAGATACAGTACGATTGAATCATCTATTACATCTATTACCATCCTGGGGAGAAGGCACGGCCAGGGCAGATCTGAAGGAGAGTTTTATCAGGGGCCGAGGGAGAGAGGGAGGGAGTGCAGTGGAGGGGGCAACTGGGTACTAGCCGAGCATCAATGCTGCCTGCTGTCAGTGTGGCATACCCTCATTCTTCCAACTATGCACACACTGATGGGGCACACGCACACAAGCAAGGCACTGGCTGTGACACATAGAACCCAAAGGACACAATCCTGACTCTCAGGAGCGCCCCATCTAAGGAAGATGGTGGGGGTGGTGGTGAAGAGAGATATTATAGGATTAGGGCAGTTGATTTGCAATCATCGATCCCCAGCACTGCATGAAGTCCCTAGAAGAGTACCCAGTTGGAGCTGGATAAATATGGTGGCCTCCAGAGCCTCTCATACAGCAGCAGAAGGCTCCAGAAGGCAGGGTGGTCTTTCAGGTGGTCACTGCCTCCACCACCAACCAGAGTGACTCCTGAGCACAGAGCCAGGAGTAAGCACTGAAGTGAGCACTGCTGGGAGTAGCCAATGCTACACCATGACAATTACCACCACCACAACAAAAACTCTCAGGGACCTGTTGGGGGGTGATGAAGGGAGTTCTTCGCAGGCAATCCTCAGGACACAATTCTGCTCTGAGAACATGCAGAGGCTGGGGTCACAGAGTGTTAGTCTTCATTTGCCCAATACAGTAGCTGCTCAGTGAGTATTTGCTGCAGGCAGAGATGAACGTCTGTCCATAGTGTTGTAGGAATAGCTAGCTGCCTCTTGGGAGTGTCAGGGTGGGAAAGGGGGTCTTAGAGGCCTTTGAGCAGGGCATGGGATGGGGAAGAGCTCCTTTTCAGGTAAACAAAGCCAGAAAGGGTAGAGACAACTGTGGCTTCAGGGAGATAGAGTTTGTTTCTGTGTCCAGCCCTGGCCTGGAGGGTACATGTTGGCTAAGCATAGGCAGATGAGGAGTCTGGAGCGGTGGGCAGTGGGCAGGCTGCAAGGGGTCTTAGAAAGCATTCTAGAAGGTTTGGAGTTTTTGTTTTTTTGAAGGGGGCAGACCGGCTGTGCTCCTGGCTTTCTGCTCAGGAGTCACCCCTGGTTCAGAAGACCATATGTGGTGTGAGAGGTTCAACTTTGGAGTCAGATGCATGCAAGACAATCATCTTACCCACTAGAGTTTTGTAAGTTACAGGAAGTGCTGGAATGTAAGGGTTTTAAGTAGGGCCATGGCATGGCCTTTGTATCTGTGGGTGTTTGGGGGAGGTTATGGGGTATTGGGGGGAGGACAAGTGCCCAGGGGCATGCCCGGAGCCTCTCTGTCAGAGTTAGGGCTGCCATCTGCCCGGGCTCTTGCTTCACGTGAGCAGGACTCCCTGTGCTGCCTCCCAGAGCTGGGGAGGAAACTGACGTCACATGTCTTTGCCATAATTTACCCTAACGGCATTATCCCACACCAGCCGGCATGACGGATGGAGGCAGAGCAGGGAGCAATGCCAGGTTTCTGCCACCCTAACTCGCAGGTGATTGGGGTGTTCTGTAGTGAGAGGGGAGAGATGCTCAGCCCATGCTGGAGGCCTTGGAGGTCATCCAGTCCAGGCCTGCTACTCTATGGATGGGAAACTGAGGCTCCTTGAGGAAGTGACCAGGGTATAGTCAGGATGGGAAAGACAGATCTGGACTCAGTGCTGAGCCCAGCCACTCCCCTAACTCGCAGACTGAAAATTCTGTTTCCCATCTGTGCAGCATTGCTGTTGGCAGATATAGGCAGAAATACCAATTTTCAGGGGGTGCTATAGGGGAAGGGGAGAGTCACTGAGCCTCACAGGTCTCCAGAGCTCTGCTCTGCTCCTGCAAGCTTCCCCACTGCCTGAGTCTGGGGGTAGGGGTGATGGGCAGGGGTGGGGTGTGTTCATTCAGGGGCTCTGACAGCAGCTGAAAGGGAAGGGGAATGGGGGGGGCATGTCTCACTCAGGTCATCCGGGAAGGCAGGGGTACACCTTGCCTTAATTGGATTTAGGATAAATGTTGATTACAAAAAGCAATCTTTAGTCTGGCTTACAGCCCAACAGTCTGCTCTTATGGATTACAAAACAAAAATAAAAGAATATCGAAAAATATTGAGCGCGATTTTTGCACAGGGGGAGGGAGTGGGCTTTATCATGCAAAAGGGATTCATGGCAGGGTTTTTTCAGGTCTTTTGTTTGTTGGTTGGTTGGTTTGGTTTTTGTCTTTTTGAAATAACACTAGTCTTATGCGGGGACTAAGAGGAGGGAGAGGGGAGAGCATCTATGGTAGGGGTCCCTGACATCACGGGTCTCTCTCAGGAGCTCACTAAAGAGTCGGTTTCCTGAGTTTGCATCACCCATCCTCACTTCCCAGAGAAGGAATACATATACTTGGAGTCAAAACTGCTGAGTCCAGGAACGGGAAGGATGTGGCTGCAGGAAGCTGTGAGCTCTAGCACAAGTTCAGAGATTACAAGAAGGAAGAAGCCCAGCCCCCTGCAGAGAGAAGAAGCATCGAGGATGGAGGATCTAGGACCAGTTAAGAACAGCTGAGGTGGGGAAAAGCACTCAGGGATCCAAGAAGGTCTAGGGTCAGCAGTGTAGGCTCATTCTCCTGGCGGAATGAGAATATAGCCTATCCCCAAATCATATTCAGCCTCATGTAATGCCATGATTGATTAATTTTGGAGGGGAGGGCTACACCCAGCAGTGCTCAGGTCTTGCTCCTAGCTTCTGCTCAGGGATCATATTGGTAGGGCTCAGGGAACCAGATGCTGTGCCAGGGATGGAATTCAGGTTGGCCCTATGCAAGGCAAACATGTTAACCCTGTACTATCTCTGTGACCCATGATTATTTACTTTTTATTTGTGGAGAAACCACTAATTCATAGGCTCCACAGAGCAGACACAGTCTTTTTTTCACCACAGTGCCCCCAGTCCTTTGTACATAGTAGGTATTCAACAACTATTTACCAAATACATAAAACAAAGTCATTTTATCAAACATTAGAAAACTCAGTCAAGAAAATAAACCATTCATTGTTCCCCCACTGCGGGTATTTTGGCTTATTTCCTCCGAGTCTTATTTCCTCTGAATACGCTCTTTTATATACATGTAAACATAATGTATTATTAGACTTAGCTCTGGGATGTGTTTTTGTATTCCTCCATTAATATGACTGAAATGATGAAATGAGATGATGCGGAAATGCTTTGAAGACTGTAAAATGTTTAACCAAATATCTTATGATTAGTTATAATAATCATAGCAATACTGATATGAACGAGGCTGATTTTTCTGAACCTATCCTTTAAGGCAAACAGGCATTGGCCCTGCAAGGCTGGGGAGATATTCTGTTCCGCATCTGGGAGTGTCTCTCTTTCATGTTGGGGAGAGAAAGTGTGACCCAAGATTGCTTAGAGGTCCTCAGTGCTAACTTCCCAGCCTGCTCCTACTCCTGGCTGACCTCAGACTGGTCCCAGCCCTCCAGCATCCTCTGGGTCCTCTTCTGAATCAAACTAGCAGCTTCTGTTCTAGGCAACCAGGAGGCAAGAGAAGTGAAATATCCTGGGGCCTTTGTGCTCTGACACTTCCTCCCCAATTTAGATGCAAACTCCACATCGGTGCCAGTTTTCCCCCCAGTGGGCAGCACTGCCCCACAGTCCAAGAGTGCTGGGAAGGGCCCCCTTCCCAGTGCTACCTCAGAGCACAGAGCGGGAGCTTTCAATAAAACTCTAGAAAGGGTCAGAGACGGCCCCTTCTGATTTCTTTCTGCAGACCACTTTGAACTGCATTCATGGAACTAATAACCTTTCAAACCCTTGCTAGCAGCTTCCCTTGGTACCCACCCCTGCCGACTTTCCCCACAGAATGTTCTGGGGGGGGAGGGGAATAAGTTCCCAATGAGCCAAGCATGTGGGGAAAACAAAAGCTAAGAGAAGTTTCCCTCAGGCCCAATTTTAGGAACTGACAGACAGGAGAACTGGACCATGGGGGACAGTGGCACCTCCAGTTTCAGGGCAAGTCTCTTCAATCCCACGCCAGCCCCCTCGGTGGACTCAGAGCCTTCCAGGATTGGGGACCATGTGTCTCCCCTCACACCTACAGTTGGCAGGGCCAAGTTGAGGATCCCAGGTCCAGAGCCCAGGGAACTTACCCTCTGCTCCTGTGTGGCCACGAAAGTCTGGAACCCGGGAGCCACCCCAAAGCCCAGCTCTTGGATGAAAGGTGGTTCAGATTGACTGTGGATCTGAACCTTCACGCCTGCTTCAAACGTCGTCTCCTCTGAAAGAACAAAGGTGGACAGAGCCAGGGGTCAGAGATGGCAGGTGCTCGGAGCTGGGACAGAGAAGCTCCGAGGGACCCTAGAAAGGTCACATTGTAAGCAGAACCGTGGACCCCAAAGACGTCCGTCTTCTCAGCCCTGGAAACAGAATAGGTTACTGACTTGACCACAGGAACACTGCAGGTATTAGTAAGGATCTCGAGAGAGGCGGGTTGTACTGACTATCCCAGTGACCCAGAGGAATCCCATGGCTCCTTAGAGGAGGGAGACAGGAGACTCAGAGATAGTGGAACTGAACTGAAGATGAAGTAGAAGAGGAAGAGGATGCAGGAGCCACCAGCCAAGGCAGGCAGGCAGCTATGGTGGTAAGAAAGGGGAAGGAAATGGATTTTCCCCGAGGGCCTCTTCCAGCAGCACAGGCCCGCTGACACCTGGTCATATTTAGCCCCATGAACCCCGTGTTTGAATTCTGGCCTCTGGAACATGAAGCTGGAAGCCACTCCCTTCATGATGCTCAAGCACTGTGATCACCAGAAATGGATTCAGGTCATCATTGCCCACTCTTTGTTTCAACCACCAAACCAAAGAATGGGCTTAGAAAGTGAGAGAAGCACCTTTATTGGATTTGCTAGCTTCTGTATGGGGCTGTGGGCTGAAGGGGAAGGGATGAAGAGGAAAATATGAAGATGCAGCTAGAGAAAGTGCCATGGCACTGATTCCATGGAGCCACAGAGCTGGGAGACCAGATGCGTGCATTTCTTTCTGTGTCTCTGGTGGGGGACATTCCCTTGGCTGTGGGAGGAGGCAGGGATGGCACAAGGGGCCTGGCAGAGGGCTCCTCCTCTGTGTTGGAATTCCAGACTGGTGGAGAAGGGCTCTGGGATGGAGAGGCCTCACCCGGGCTTCTCTTTCTCACTCATTCCAGACCATCTGCAGCAGGAGCTCTCTGAAACACAGGCCTGCATATCACTCAGCTTGGCAGAGAAGGAGCCAGACTCTTCAATCAGCCCTGGGTCTCCTGGGACAACGAGGTCAATCCCTCCAGGGCTGCCCAGATTGGCTATTTCAGTCCCCAACTCTGCCTGACATCTCTCCTCCCAGCAGTGTCTTCCTACCTAGACCCCGGCCATCTCCCGACTCGTCACAGAAGATTTAGCCCCCACTCTGTCCACTTAGTTCACTTTGTGGTCCTCTGACATGTAATCAATCAAGTCTCAGCCACACCACTGAATCACCTTTTTTTAATTGTTTATTTTGGCATCATTCCTGACAGTGCTCTGGGGTCACTCCTAGTGACACTCAGGGGAACCTGGCAGGTGTGGGGATTGCACCTGGACCTCCTGCATGTAAAGCTGTGCTCCAGCCCTTTAGGTTACGTCCATGACCCTCCACGTAAACCCAACTCTTTCATCTGACTCTGTCCTCATGATCATCCTGAGGTTATGTTCTGGACTTTCTCTCTGAATCTCGAAACTCCTATACAGGACCAGACACTGCGGCAGGAACCCAGAGAGTAACAAACCAGTGGCTCAAATCTCACTCACATAATTACGAAAGGGCAAGACCAGCCTGGAGTCCAAACCAGGGAATACGCTCAAAGAGGAGCATGTTAGATGCAGGTGGGGGCAGGGATGGGGAGGTGGGGCAGGGAGAGAATGACTGTCAGGGGTCATGTCATAGAGGATGTGCCGGCCCTAGAGCAATATCCTGGTGAAGGTGAGGGGACAGATACTAAAGCAAGCACGAGATAGGACTGGGGCCATACTGGGAATGGGCTGTTCTATTGGACATCCCTGAGCCCATGCAGACAAAGGATCTGGATCTGGGTGAGAATTGCAAGGTTGTGTAAGTACCAGGGAAGACCCTGGCCAGGAGGGAAGGCAAGCAGGGCTTCCAGAGTTGCGACCCACAGGTCAGTGGGTGACACAGGGTTTCAGCAAGTGACTGGGGGTCAGCTCTCCTTTCCCACGCATCTTCACAGAGCAGGATGGGTCCCCAGGCAGCCCAGCAGCCTCCCTTGCCCAGGATGTCTGTCCCATCACCCAGTGCCTTTGTGTCCTTGTCCTCCATAGTTGGGGACTGCCTCCAAAGAGAGGCCTGGATCACTGCTGGCTCAGGGAGGGGGACAGTAAGAGTGGGGTGCAGTAGATAGGGTGGGAGGGGATTCTGCAGCTTAAACTTTCTGAAGTCTGCTCAAGTGGGGAAGGAGGAGGAGAGGTCCAGGAGCCCAGGACCCAGATTCTGCCGGGGGAGAGGAGGAGTCTCAGGGTTCTTCAGGGGAGCTAGGCTGAGATAACTGAAAACCCAGCTTGGGGGGCTGCGGGGTGGGGTGAACTGGGGTGACACCAGAAGGTGTTTTCTGGAGGAGCCTGTGAAAGCTGCGTAGCTGAGCTTAGGGAAGGGGCTCTGGAGGAGCTCGTGAAAGCTCCCTACCTGAGCTTAAGAAGCCCCGAGAGCCACTAAGACAGGCTCAGAGAAGGGGTGCTGGGGCTTAAGGGAAGAAATTAAAAATGAAGCCTTGCTGAGGGAATGCTGAGAGTAATGAGCAATGCTGCGGGGCTGGTGTTGGGTCTCAGCGAGGCTGCTCGGGGCTGTGATGATGGGGTGAGGATTGGGAGGGGGGCTTACAGGGAAGCAGCGGTGGCTCAGGGCAGGGAGACATTCTCACGTAGCCTCCATTTTTTTTTTTATTAGTGAAACACCATGAGGTACAGTTGTCGATTTACAATTTTTTGTGCTTGGGTTTCGATTATACAATGATCAAATACCCATCCCTCCACCAGTGCCCATTTTCCACCACCATGGATAATATCCCTCCCACCCCCACCCCCCCAGCCTCTGTGGCAGGGCAATCCCTTGTGTTTTCTCTCTCCTTTTGGGTGTTGTGGTCTGCAAAAGAGGCATTGAGTGGCAAACATGTTCAGTCCATAGTCTACTTTCGACATGCATCTCTCCTCCTCAGAGGATCCTCCAAACACCCTTTATTTGGTGCTCCCTTCTCTATCTGAGCTGCCCTTTCCCCTAGAATGCCCAGCTGGCCTCTAACCTATGGAGTAATCCTCCTGGTGCTGATCTCAGCTATTCTTGGGTATTAATCTCATATTCCATTTATTTTTTTTTCTTTTTGGGTCACACCCGGCAATGCACAGGGGTTACTCCTGGCTCTGCACTCAGGAATTACTCCTGGTGGTGCTTAGGGGACCATTTGGGATGCTGGGAATCGAACCTGGGTAGGCCGCGTGCAAGGCAAATGCCCTACCCACTGTGTTATCTCTCCAGTCCCCCTCCTTCCACCTTACAGACAGTGGCAGTGGTGAAGGGGTGGGTCTGATGTGATGTGCTCTTAAAACAGCGCCCACCAAGACTGGCTTCCTGTCACCTGCAGTATCCAGCCCTGCAGCCACTGGTGTGTGTGTCAAAGACACGCATGTGTCAAAGGAGCTGAAATTTTAAATGACTCAATCGAGCAATCAATTAATTAATCCCTCTTCCAGCTCTGCTGAGGATTGTTGACAAAATGGTGAGATCTTTAACCTATACAGTATGATGATTTGATAGATCCCCCACACTGAGCTCACGTGCCATCACCTCCCACATTTGCCCTTACGTGCTTGCTTAATGTTTAGTGAGCTGAGTTGAACTTATACATCTGTTGAAATAGCTGCAGGCGGGCAGTGTTGCTAGGCAGTGTGGGCAGGAAGTGTGCCCCAGCTCCTTTGGGACATCAAGGGTGACTGGGATGCCATGGCCCAACTGGGCACCCCTTAGAGGCCCTGGTTCCGAGAGTCAGAGTTGCACGCATGGTCATCTCATGCCCAAAGACCCAGGTCCTCCCTGGCTTAGCTTTCCCCAAAGTGTCATTTACTCCCACCTCTCTGGAGAGAGCACTGTTTCTTTCCCTTCTGAGACCTGCTCTGGCCTATTCTATGTTTCCAGTTTGCCAGTGAAACAGCACTGTTCTCTCTCTCGCTCTCTCTCTCTCTCTCTCTCTCTCTCTCTGATACATCTCTGCCCCCAGTCTATATTTCCTGGACATGGCACCCCCCACCTCCCAAATATGAGGATATGAGGATCCACTTTTTTTAATTGAATCACTGTGAGATGGTTACAAACTTTCATGGTTACGTTTCAGTCATACAATGATCGAGCACCCATCCCTCCGCCAGTGCACATTTCCCACCACCAATGTTCCCAGGATCCCTCCTGCCATCCCCACCCCATCCCACCCATTGCCTCTGTGGCAGGTAGATTCCTTACTCTCTCTCTACTTTGGGGTGTTATGGTTTGCAATACAGATACCAAGAGGCCATCATGTTTGGTCCTTAATCTACTTTCAGCACGAATCTCCCATCCCGAGTGATTCCTCCAACCATCATTTACTTAGTGGTCCCTTCTCCATCCCAATACTGCTTTTTCCTCCAGCACATAAGTCAGGGTTCCAAACTGTGGAGCAATCCTTCTGGCCCTTATCTCTACCGAGGGCCCACCCTTTAAGAGCTGCATTGAAAAAACAGAGTCAAAGGCTCCAAGATCATGGACCTCTGAGTTTCTCAAACTATAACATAGTTTGAAAGCATGAAGGGAACTATGGGGAATGATTCCTGTGTATATTCTAGAAATTCCAATTTGGTTGATATGGTGAGGAGCCCAGAAATCTGTATTTCCAGGAGTTCCATGGGAGATGATAAAGGTTAGGCACCTATGTGCATTGATCTTGACCAGAGCAGGACAAGGCCTTGCCCTCAGTTCCCCAGCAAGAGCAGAGGTCCTCTGACTCTCACTACGGGATGGGTTACTTCCTGTGGGCAGACCCCTGGACTCACAGTTCCTGCATTGTGAATGTGACTGTGGAAGAGAATTAGTTCTTTCCTAGTCAGGTCCCTAAAGTGCCCAGCCCAGTCTTGGGAGAGAATAGAGCTGAGTCTTGTTGGTGTCTCTTGTTTTTCCACTTTAGGCCACACCTGCCCTTGCTCAGGGCTTGCTCCTGGCTCTCTGCTCA